CCTGATCAAAGGCGATGAATTCCGAAAGAATTCAATGGCTCCGAAGGGTTGTGGCTGAGGCACTGCTGGGAAGGTGCCTTGGACACGTTCAGGTGGACATTTCTCACTAAAAAAATTAATTTCCTTACCCCTTACAATTCGCTTCTCATTGATTGAGCCAAACCCCTTCCTAAAGAGCACCAAAACTTCTTCCAAAGTTGAGATTTTTCCTCCAAGCATTCAGAAATCACATCAGAAGGGTCTGATAGGTGTCAAACTTCCCAAAATAAAATAAAATACAACCCTCGAGCATCACTTCTCCTTCCATTCCTGTCCCAAACAGCCTTTTGGGGTTAAAACTTGGTGTAACAACAAGTAAAGCCCAATTCCAAGGAAAAAAAAGGGATAAATAGTTGAGTTTGCAGTCAATTAGAAAGTGTTTAATTGGGATTATCGTGTAAGAATATTTTTCACAGCGAAGAACTTTTTCTGCAGAGCTGGTACAACCTGGTCCCACTGAAATAAAAATCCGAGGTGTTTTTGCAGCTCCCTGAAATATTTGTCACCAGCGAAAATCCATTTCAGCACCAAATTCTGCAAAACTGAAGCCAAAACTGCAGCACCTCCTGTTTTTTGGGGGAGAAGGGAAGAGGCAGAAAAGGTCCAGAGAGCTTTTATGGCTTTCTGGGGCTGCCTGGAAGATCCAGGACATCCCTGCACCTCCCCGAACCAGCCCCTGCAGGAATTGTTGGTTTGCTTTGCATTTTGGATGCGTTCCCGGCAGGGAAATTGCTTTGTTTACTGTTTATTATGGATTATGTTTATTATGGATTATGTTTATTAATGGATTATGTTTATTATGGATTTATCCCGGGTGAATCCGCTTTCATCTCCTTGCTTTGCATCCCTTAAATATTCCCGGCTCCATCCTGCTGACTCCACCCTCCGAAGCCGGGGATGAGTCAAATTCCAATTTGTTTAGGAATTGGCGCTGCTCTCCGGCGTTTTGGACCCTGCTGTGGCAACAAGAGTTTTAATTGGAGTCCTGRGTGCGCAATTCCAGCCTCGGTAAGCGCCAGGGAGATTTGGGATCGCCGCTCCTTGTAATATTCCGATGAGCAGCATCCCGAAGCTTTTTGGCTCCCGGGAGGAGAAGATGGAGCCAGCCAGACCTGTCGGATTTGGGAGCACCTTCAAAAGTGGATTTGGGGCTTTTTTTTTGTCTTCTCTGCGCATTTTGAGGAGTTGTTTTTCAAACCGCGCTCTTGGGGTCGAGAGTTATTGGTAAAAAGGAATGTCGGGGAATCGTGGAATGGTTTGGGTGGGATTAAAGATTTTCTAAATCATGGGCAGGGACACTTCCCACAGTCCCAGGGTGCTCCAAACCCCATCCAACCTGGCCTTGTGCACTTCCAGGGATCCAGGGGCAGCCACGGCTTCTCCGGGAAAACCAATTTTTTACCATTTCTGTGCGTGCGGTAAGGAGAACATCGGCAAAGCCTGGCCGGGCTTGAGGGACAGGAGAATTTCCATCCATGGTGGGTGTCACCCCAACCTGAGGACAGGACATCCCGTGACTCACGGCTGGAATTGTGTAAATTCTGATTTGTGTTTCAAGGACGAGACAGAAAGACTGGAGCCGGTGAGGAWGTTCGTGACATCCATCAGGAATTGCGGCCACCGCTTTGAACCCCTGGTCATGTTCAAAGAGCCCAGCCCTGCCCATTTGCTGATAATTCCCCATTTGCCTGTCTGAGGGGAAAAGTTTGGGGAACTCGGGAGACTTTTTGTTCTTCAAAAGTCTCCGAGCAGCGTTCGTTTCCCGGGAGATGCTGGGGAAGATGGTCCGGGGCTGATTTGCCTGTCTCTGCAATTAAACATTACCTCTGTCGTTAATTAAACACCGGGAAAGGCTGGAACGCTCGGCGCTGCCCTCYGGTCTGCTCCCGCATTGTCTGCAATCGCTTTTTAATCTGGGAATTGCCTTTGAAAAGGAACCGGAATTGCTGCACTCCGAGGCGCTCTTTGAGACGCGCGGAAATGAAAGGAGGAATTGGCTTTCAAAGAAGGAAAAAAAAAAAGGAASGASAAYTTMATAAACATCTCTAAGGAGCTGTTGTTAATTTTGGGGGGGAATTTTGCATAATGGTGCACGGCCCAGTAGGGGAAAGTAATAATTTGGTGGCAAATGGAAAAAGGGTTTGGCGTCTTTGATGACCCCAAAGATGAGCTTGGGGTGTCTCTGAGCAGCCTCGGATTCCCAGGTATCCTCCACCTGACCTTAATAATTGTCCTGGGGTTTGATGCAAGGAGAAAACCCAACCTGGAGATTCCCTGGGTGAAAGATTTGGACTCTCAGAGCCCAAATCGTGTCTCAAATTCGATCGTAGAAGTGTGGTATTTAATATCAAAGGAATAGAACAAACGCTGATCCTCTTTCACCCTCTCTGCTGAGTCAAGAAAATAAAATCTCTGCCCTCAAATGATCCATTTCCCAGTACCTTTGAGAGCGGTGAAGTTTGGTCAGCTCTAAGAGTTTCTGCGACAATTTTATTTCCCGTATTTTTGCTTCCCCCCTCTGTTTGAGAGGAATTCCGTGAAATTCTGAGGCAGAAATAGGAATTTCTGTCCTTTTCAGAGCGATTCGTGCCAAAAACTCGCGCCCTCCATGCGGAGGGAGAGGGATTTCACGGGGAAGTTCGGCTGCATCGCTCCGAATTGTTTAATTCATCCGTGCCAAGGCTCCTCAGGACGCAAAATMATTTCCTGAGTAACGCAGATGAATCAGCTCCTGACCAGGAATTACCCGAGCTCCYGAGATTTCAGGATGAAAGAAACCTCTCCGGAGGAATGCATACATTACAGGGAGGAAATGAAATCCGGGTAAGAAATACAAACGGAGAGGAAAAGCGAATCCCCAGCCACGGGAGTTTTGCATGCGGGGAATCGTTAACAATCGGTTGTTAATGAGCTGCAAGCGCAATTTGTGCCTCGGGTCCTCGGGGCTCTCCGGGCCAGGGTATAAAATCTGTCCCGGCAGAGGAGCWGAAACCACTCCTGCTTCATTCTCCTCGGAGAAAAGGGTGAGTCTCGATCTGCTTTCCGTTTCCCTGGGTTGCTGCTGTCCTCGAATTTTATTTTTTTTTATTATTATTTTTRTATTATAGATATTATTATACATTGTTTTTATTTTTCTGCTCTTTGTGGCTGTCCAAGGTTTGTGCTTTTCTGGGAGGGAATCTCGAGGTTGTTTTTCCTCCGGGAAGGGACATTCTGTGCACAGTGGAGGTTGCTCGTGCGGTGGCACCGAATTCAGCCGCGTTTTTCTTTTGTTTCACCCGAATCTTTCCGTTCTGAGGGATTCAAAACTCTCCCTGGACATCGCTCAGAGGCTGGGAGAGGATGCGGAGAATCGGTGCAGAGAGTTTGGCTCTCGAAAGGGAAACAAAAAAAATATTTGGGGTTGGAAGGGACCCCTGGAGATCTCCCAGTGCGACCCCCGCAGTCACCCCCAGCGGGTGACACAGGAAAATCCTCCAGGCGCGTTTGGAACCACTTCGGAAAGGGAAATTCCTGACCAGGAGGGTCTGAATGTCCCCAGAGGGAAATTCCTTGAGCTCCCTTTTTCGGAGCAGCCCCTGCCAGGGCCTCACCGCCCTCACGGGGAAATTCGTGCTCCTTATTTTTACTTGCTGAGGAAATTTTTCCTTTTTCCCTCTATTTTGGGGGCGCAGTTTTTCCTTGCTTTTCTGGCAGCCTGGTCCCTCCCTTCCCCGCTCGTTTCAGAGTTTTGGGAGAAGCGTGGTGGGAAATGAGCTCTCGGTGGAGCTGGAGCCTCCCTTTGCAGCGTGGAGAAGTTCGAGCTTCACCCAAATCTCCTTTGGAGCCCAGACCAACCCTTTATTCCACTCTCCACGCCGCCCTCAGGCTCTCCATCACCGCCGCAGCTTAATTACGCSACTAATTACATCTCGTTCCTCGCATTCCCTTCTTCCCAGCGCTCCAGACTCCATCCCGAGCCATGTCCTGCTACGACCTCTGCGCCCCGAATTCATGCAACCCCACGCCGCTGGCCAACAGCTGCACCGAGCCGTGTGTCCGGCAGTGCCAGGATTCCACCTACGTGATCCAACCGTCCCCCGTGGTGGTCACTCTGCCCGGGCCCATCCTCAGCTCCTTCCCCCAAAACACCACCGTGGGCTCCTCGGCGTCCGCGGCCGTCGGGGATGTTCTGAGCACCGGGGGTGTCCCCATCAACTCCGGGAACTCCTCGGGGTTGAGCAGTTTGGGGTATTCCGGGCTGGGAGGGATTTACGGGAGGTCCTACCGGCGCTCCAACCGCTGCGGGCCGTGAGGAAGGAACGGCCGGGAGATGAAAAGCGCGATCCCATCCTCTTGCTGACCCCACCGCCGCTTTGCCCTGAGCTCCCGAGGCTGCAGGAGCTCGGCATTTCCGATTCGATGCCTTTCTGCGGCATCAGCGAGGTGAAAAATGTCACTTGGTTGTTGCCGGGTGTCCAGCTGTAAAGCGCTGCCGTGAAATGGG